ACGAGGCCACCGATCAAACCATCATGGATGCGGTATGTTCCCGCAGTGAAAGGGTCATATTTATCGAATAAGGGAGCGGCGGACAAACGCGGACCCGTGGTGGTGTAACGCGGCAGGTCGGATTTCCCACTGGAAAACCGTGGTGGAGTCCGAAATTACAGAGAAGATTAGAATTAGGAGAGTATATTCGTATTATGGCCCAGCCCCGGGACTCGAGGAACTCAAGTGTGAGGCTCACCAGAAGCCTGCCACTAAATGGCAGGCCTCGAGAATTATAAGCTCCTAATCCAACCTGATTATACCTGGTCTGCCGGGTCCCGGTCAAGTATGGTCAACGTTGCTTTGAGGAATCGAACGACATTGAGACGGTTTGTTGAGAGAAGAAGAGTGTCCCATTGTTTGGCCGTCCATCACTGATGGACGGCTCAATCAGCTAGACAGTATACGTGGGTATCCTACAATGCATGTGCGTACAAGATTATTATGTGCCATATCTGAACACCCGTGCCACAGGTGGCAGGCAAATGCTCCAGACCAAGAACAAACTCATCAACCGGCGAGAACCGGAAGTACTGGGAGGGCAGACCCCTGAACGGGGCCATGACAACCTAAATAGGTTGCGAGAATTACAGATACGAAGCTGGAGTGTGGATGGGAAAACACATGCGAGATGCGAGATCCGTGTCAGAGGAGTTGAGCGTCCGAACATAGCCGCGACAATTGGTGGAGTAAACCTGGCATGGGCTAGACTCAGAGAGCAATCTAGAGGAGGGAATTTCGACTCAGGATATATTGCCCCTCATTGTCAGTTTTGTGAAGGTAGAACTGATGAAGAATAGTCTTGGCTGACAGAGAGATGAACTATTGGTATATCCAAAGATCAGTCAAGACAGCGTTCACATCATTGTCGTTTACCTGGTCCTCGTCAATCACAACGGCTATGTTGTGTCAGCCATGCTTGAGGCGGACCGTGTTGTCATCGTTGACGGACAATTCATACTAATCAAAATGATTCGTCGATACCCCACCCACAAAGTCAAACTGCTTCTGCTGCGCACCTGGCCGAACTGCCCTGAAAATTGTGTCTCTCATCGCCCAACCAAGCGTCCATCAGAGTACTCTACAACGCGGTTTTCGATGCCGCAAAAGATCTAGGACAGTGACCCCAAAATGATCCCCGACGGCGGTCATTACACGGTCAGAGGGCGCCGCTGTGCTTCGATCCAGATAGCCAATTGGCAGGGCCTAGCGGTGGCTCAAAGTGTAGCTCAGTGATCATCGAGGGTCGCTCTTTGCTCTGTCAGCTCGAGAGCAGTTCGAGAGCAGGAGGTATTTCCTTGGCTTGAGAATGAGTCGCTGCAAATGGAAGCCTGAGAGCAGAGGAGAACGGTCAAAGAAACAAAGGATTTCACAATAGCACAAATGGTGATTGGGCTTACCTGGTTGATATAAGTATGCTCTTCTGTGAAACACAGAAAGCTCATCTACCACTTCCCCCTTCGAAATCCTATGATCTGTTCGAAAACTCCTCCATTGGGTCTAGGCGCGAGAACGCGAAAAATCCTCCGGCCATGCACATGGCAGAAGGTCCCCAGGTTTCATGGGCACAAGGAATTACTGCCTGCATCCACCAATCGAAGCCCGCCAAATGATGGGTGGGAGCACTCAAGACATGCCGGGTGCCCAGATACCACTCAATGCTACTACAACATTTTTTCAAGCTCGAAAGAAGGTAATTCAGAAGGTACCTCTATATTGAAAGCGGAGGGAGTGCACAGTGGGTTAATACGTTGTCGTGAGTAATGCACATTGAAAACAAGCTTTGATCCATCTGATTTTGTCATATGTGCAACGTCAAGGTTCAAGGTTTTCCGTCATGTTGTCATTTTGTCAGTCATAAGCAGACACGCGGAAGAGTCTCCGGTCCCTTTACGACATTTGTGAATCTTCAGTCGATCGCTCGGAGTTGAATTCCGATGCTCGGTAGTTAAAAGTGGTGATGCACCGAGCTTCCATGGTCAAAGTTGATCAAAGCGCCATGCGCAGCCGACATTACCGAGTCTGACCCTTTCCAAGGTTCTGACAGTTGATTCCTCCGCGCGACGAGATCTGGACTCGACCAGTCCAACGAGAATGCCACGCAAGCTTGGCGTATCATAGTGATCGTCTATCGCAGTCTCTTGTCAGGCCATCCACGCAGCACTAGAAGATAACACCTCGTTCAACATTGTACCTCATTTCGTTGTTTGAAGGAGTTGAAACATTATAACGGGTGAATAATGGCCCGAAAAGTTGATACTTGATACTTTGGCTCAATCGGCGTGAGCTGAGTGCATGAAGGCATTGCGGCTTCACGAAGAGTGTCCCACTCATTGGTGTCCCGATCGGGATCTTGTTGCTGTCGCGAGTCGACGGTTGGCAAGCGGAGACATTTCCGATTCGGGACGGGCAGCTTGATTCTGAAGGATGCAATGGGATCGCTCCGTAATATCAGGCCCGCTTGTCACTTCGTTGTCTGACTGGATGAATCTACCAATATTTCTTCCTCGTTTCAGCAGTGATTTATTTTGATTCTTCTGGGGCTCTCATCAGCATGTACAGTGGAGACTGACGGATTGATCATGAAGCGAGGGCATGGCGTATAACGTTCTCCATTTGGCGCTGCAGAGTGCACACGCTACTGCGGGGGGACCGGCTCCATGTCAGGGATAAGCCAGTCGCGAGATCTGCCGTGAGATGAATCACGATGGTCTTAGAGCACCGCGGCACATTTTTCGAGGGCCGGCATTCACTCGTTTCGCTCTTGTCGTCTCCCCAATTCATTTTAAAGTATACCACCCACCCACTAACCATGTTTAGCGAGAGTCCGGAGTATATCAAGAGGCGGGACACGCCTTTCTCACCGCCCACCGTAAGCAGCCCCTGCGCACGCACCAACTGGTCGCTGACTCCGAGAGGGAAGATAACATGGAAGGAGCTGCGCGCGGTGATTCCCTCCGAGCTTTTCCGCAAGTCGACGTTCCGCGGGATGACCAGCGTCGTCCAGGACGTCGTTTGCTTCGTCACTCTTTTCGCCCTCAGCCGACGGATCGACGCGTTCGCAGCCCAGGTCGCCGTAGCGCGCGAGCTGACGCCGGGCATCGCCTCGGTACTGAAATGGTCGCTGTGGTCCGCTTACTGGGGCGCACAAAGCATTGTCATGGCCGGTTGCTGGTGTCTGGGTTCGTGCTACCCTTTACTTCCTTCGCGCTATACCGACCGTCGCCGGAATCGTGATCAGGACACGAGGCCGGCCATCACAATATCTCCCCGTACGGCATCGTCAACGACACCGTGGGATTCATTTTGCACACCGCGCTCTTGACCCCGTACTTTGCCTGGAAGCAGTCCCACCATGCGCATCACGTGAGCCGCCGTCCACATATGTCGTTGCAGCATGTGTTAGCTGATACTATATTTCAGAAAGGTGTGGGCTCGGTCGAACGTGACGACATCTACGTGCCCCGGACAAAATCCCAACTTGGAATCACGACGATGGAGCAGCTGCATGAGATGTTCGAGGAGACGCCCCTTTACACGCTCGTCCGCATGCTTATCATGCAACTGCTGGGCTACCAGGCATATCTGCTGTTCAACGCTCTCGGGTCGCCCCAAGACCCACCTGGCACCAACGCGAGTCATGAATGGCTGTTGCTCGTTGTGATACTCACGATTCCAACAGCACTTCTCGCCGTACTCCGCGTTATTCAAGCCCGAAGATTTCTGGAACATCGTGCTCTCGGACGCTGGAATCGTGGTCGTTTTATCGATTGTCATGAAGTACGGCGTTCAGGTCGGTGCTGCGAGCCTATTCAAACAGTTGATCATCCCGTATCTGGTTTGTCTTGCGCCATCCAGCAGTCTCTGAGTGTTCTGATCGCCCGGAAGCTTTGCCACCACTGGGTTGTTATGATGACATACCTGCAGCACTCTGACCCGACGCTGCCCCACTACCGCAGGGGGCAATGGACCTTCCTGCGTGGATCGCTCGCCACCGTCGATCGACCGTTGCTTGGCTTTATCGGGCGAATGTGTCTGCATAATGTTAGTGTTTGCTGTGGTTATTTCCTTTTGTGGATGAGTATTATTGACTCCGAAAACAGGTCTCGCACGACCACGTTGGCCACCATCTTTTCAGTTCCATTCCTTACTGTACGCTGCCATTCAGAAGCGGAAATTTCCGTGCTAATCAATTTTCGTCTAGACAACCAACCTGAGGTGACCAAGCGCATCAAGGCTGTGCTCGGGGAGCACTACAACGAGGATAGCACGGTGGGTTCAAAAATTCAAGTCGATCGGAATTCCATTGCTGATATTTATATCACCAAGAACACGTTCTACGCGCTGTACCGCTCTTTCACAAACTGCTGCTACATCGAGGAGGACGGCGATGTCGTGATGTACAGCAACGGAAAGGGCCAGGCCACGCGCGGGATTGTCCAGGATCTGGGAAATCCCCGCGAGAACGACGCGATCCCGGATATGCTCAACTCGCTGCACGCCGCTAGTTGAATTCTGAGCCGCAGCGTTGAACGCATGGCTCCGTTGGAGAAAGATCGAGGGCACGAGGAAGGTCGTTGGAGATGTTTGCGATGACACCGAGTGCGCGTTGACTTATTTCCGTGCGAACAGATGCCCCTGGCGGGACATTTAGCTAGCTTATGTAGCAGGTACAGCTCCAGATGGAAAACTCTATCACTTGCGAATGTGGAAGAACATAACACTATGCCCGGAATGTTGGCATTGGACCTCGAACAGCCTTCCGTTTCGACGACCTCCAGGCCCCCAGCTATCCCACGGTAGACCAGTTATCCCCAAGAGGCCGATCTGCGCTACCAAATCGGCTATCTAAGCATTAGACAGCTTGCGATCAGCCGCCAATCGCCGCCCGGCGGCTCCAATGGCATGCGATGCGGGCGGCTACGTCATTTGGGGCGGCTGATGGCAGGAGTGACATCGCGCTCATTTTATCTTTCCTTCACTCACATTTGGTTCCATGGAGGCAGAGGAACTGCTGCTTGAGCATCGTATTCATTTTACGGCACTGCTGAAGGCCATTACCCAACAATGGGACGAAGTCTTCCCCGAAGAAGCTCCTACACAAGGTCGACAGGGCGGGCGAGTGGCTACATCCTCATCATCCTCATCATCCTCCTCATCTCCTCCCTCTCCAATGTCAGAGTCGGCACGGAAGGATGTCCATTCGGGACTGTATTTGCGTCCGTCGGACCCTTCGGTTGGCTGAACAGTGCTTTCGCGCTCAACCGATGCGCGTTGCTCTTCTCCGGTGGTCTTTGGGGCAGTGGGATTGGCACTGCCTGCCATTCGGCGCGTTGTGACTGGCATTGTAGTAAAGGCTTGTAGTGGGTACAACAAGTAGTTTAGTATGTGAGTTATGTGGTCAGAGGAAGAGTTGTGACGATGCACATGCCAGTCGAACCACCGCGTTGACAGCCGCCACAAATGACGCAGCCGCCCGCATCGCATGCCATTGGAGCCGCCGGGCGGCGATTAGCGGCTGATCGCAAGCTGTCTATTGATTTGTGTCGTGTTGGATCGAAGTACTCGAGTATATCGGAACTCGGATCAATTTGGAACTTTCCTTGGTATTTTGAGCAAATTTTAATTCAATTCCTTTCCCTCTCAGCCTGGGGGACATTCTTATTTCAATGCGGTGGATAATAATGATGCAAATGTCAATCGCACACTGTACGAAATGAAGCAGACGACGAAACGAATACAAGATGAGCATATCGAGGAAGATCTATAAAGGAATGGATGAGTGTTCTGTTTCTACACTAGACCGTGATGCCAATTGCTGCTGCTGCTGCTGCCTCCACAATGCATCCATGACTTCCCTCTCCACCTGCATCCGCAAATCACGCGCTTGGTGGAACATTCGCTTCGCCTCAGCCCTCCTCGCCCGCGCACCGCCAAACGACGCGGACGGCCTTCGCTGGCGCCAGTCCGACAAGTCGCGAGAAATCCTGTGAAGGAATCCTCGGCGTCAGATCACTTGTGATGGACGAGTAGGCCAGCATGGGGGCCGGACCTACCGCATCAAAGCGCACCTAGAATACTCCTTACGAAACACCTCCCGCCGCTCCGCGGGCAGCCACTCGCGCCGCTGCTTCTCGAGCGCGAATGTCATCCGGATGAGCTCTATGCGCACGAGGTGGTAGCGGTCCTCGAAGTTGACGTTCACGCCAAAGTCCAGTCGCACACCGCGAAGCCCGTCCGCGATGATCGTCAGGATTTCCAGTGTCGGAGGCATGGGGTCGGAGAGAGAGGGAATCCGAGTTATAGATTGCAAGGAGTTAATTCCGCTGGCTGCTATATACCGCGGACGCAAACAATAAGCTGAGGCTCCCCTCCTTGATAGGATATCTGGGGTTCGTATCGCAATTATTGAAGACGACTATTGTGATCCCTTACGATTTATCGATCGCTCTTGTCTAATCCGCGTCAGGCAGAAACAACGAGCTAGACAACAATAGAACAAGAAGAGAGCTATCGGAGGAGAGGACTTTCAGCACTAACCCATAATCAGAACAGCCAAGCGGGCGCATAACCTATCAAATTTTGCTCGCTTTGCTCTGTCCTCCGTTGCTCGGATTCATTGGCCGGGCAGATTGCGCCTCCAGCCACTGCATCAGACTGCATCTCGTCGGATTGAAAGCGCCTGATCGGAGATGCCAATCAGGCCGATTGCAAGATTTTCCAGCAATGACGTCAGCAGCCGATCTTCCCACTGCTGATCATTGGGCCTGAAGTGCTGTGATAGCCCTCCAATAGCTTTTTATCGATCACATTGCTTGCTGAGAGTAGCTTCGGCTGTATCTCACGCACTGTAGAGTATTAATAGGTGTTATCCTACCCCTCGTCCAGGGATCAGTACCCCCCCACCCAGCACCGTGTCCCGGATCGTTCCAGTGGAAGCGCCGCGAATGAGCATACGCGCCAAAGGGCGGTGACTTTCCGGTGTTTTCGGCTAGCTCCGGTGAGAAAGAGAAGACTGGATCCAGGAACCTCATCTGGCTAGAACACGAGGCCTGGATGCTTCCCATACATTCCTAGCGGAACAGCCTCGTTTTTCGTGAATTCAAAATCTATCTATCACTCACAAGCGCGTCAGGTTCCCGCTGGATGAGATATATTGGGAGCATGTTGGAGCTCGAACAGGAAGAAAGGATCAGCGCTTGTCTGTTGAGAACCCTGCGCGCTGTCGCTGCGAAGCACGAGCACAACTCGGCGCTTCCCGTCGGTGCAATCACTTCGCCGGACGTCCAGCTATTAAGAGATCATCAAAATCTCACATTCGTTGCACGCGAATAAAATCCTTCGGTTTGTGTTGTCTGGAATAACAACACCATTCCCGGGTTTTCCATTTGCTGCGCTCACCTCGATTGAGGATGAGAGCTGTATATTGATTTGTGGCATGACACTTTTGCGGTGTTGCATGTCGAGAGGATAGAATGATGAACATTCTGTGAAACCATTCTCAGCACTATATACGGTAGCGTCCCACACATGACGAAACGTGGAGCACGGCGAGTCGGGGTTGCATGAGCCCCGACACAGGTCGTAGGCGCTTGCAGGCGCTTGTTCTCCAGGCTTAAATGGGGACGGCGCCCTGCTGCGTTCTACTCAACACTGAGACGAACACAATCCCCTCTGACAGCCCTTGTCATCCTATCTGCCCTCTTGATTGTAACTAAAAAGAGAATGCACAGCCAAGACACCAGACACGTGCAGTGGAACCAGCGTGTGGAGGAGTTTGGCGCCAGCCACGCAGGTCACAGCTCTGCAGGGCCATCGTACCGGGAGTCCGCGCCGTCACAACGGGATAGCTTTACTTTCTACCAGCAGCACTATGCCACGGACAATCTCAAGGGGTGGCCGGGGATGCCACCCACACCAGTTATTCCGTCGATCCCACTTCCATCTCCTACCAGAGGCGATGAGAGCGAGACCAACATCCACCCATGGCTCGCTGCACCAATGCCCCTCGACCTATCCATCTCATCCGAAGAGCTCCGCCTGAGGTTAGGGCGATACCAAGCTCTGCTCGACACTCCAGCCTGCTTCCCACAAACAGACGCCCTGTTCCTCCGCGTCGATGTTGGGCACTTTCGAGCCAAGATCGAGGTCAGATCCCACCGGCAGGCGGGAGCAGCAGTCACGATCGGCGACGTCTTGACCACGCTGCACGCCGAGCTGCGCAGACCAGACGGCGGATCTACGCCCTCTGACGCTCTGGCGTACACCCGGCAGCGAATGGCGGTCGAGAGATCAGGCAGGGCCCGGATGGTCGACCACTTGCTGGGCCAGACGTGGTTCGCGGGCTTGTATCGGGGGGAGGGGCACTGGAATGTTCGTATGATACGGGGAGAGCAAGCCCGCCACGGATCGTGCAGATAGATAGATATGTATATGTATCGTATGCGCGCTGGCGCGCTACGAAAGATGATTATTCAGTCATGTATTGCTTTTGTATCACTCTTCAGTATCGTGTCCAGGATAGCAGAGAGTAGCCGGACATAGCGGCGCCCCGCACTCGCGTCCATCCCAACGAAAGAGTCCGCAAATCGCGAGAAAGAAGTCGACGAGCAGGATGGGAGCGCGTCTCCAGAAGGATGCATTTCCATTTTGGGCGAAGCAAGACAAGCACGACGCCCGGCTATCTGGCGCTTCACCACCCGCTGCGAGCTCATTGGCCTGGCACACGGTAGGAACAGAACCACCCGTCGGAAGATAGCTGGAGCCCTGGTCGCGGTGCCTTCTCATCTCGTCAGGACACACATGTATAAGCAAGGCGGAAACTCGAGCACGCACCCTAAGCCACCCAACAACACATCTCATCACACACAGGTCATCCCTTGCCTGCAGCCGACCCACGCTGCACCAGCCAACCGGAAACTCGCGCTGATGTCCATATCTAGGCCGAACTGCTCGATAGCTGCACTCGGTAGCCCAGACCACCTTGGCAGCCTGCAGAATCGGCATTTCGTACATCACGTAGCCGCACTGATGCAGCTTGTAATGGAAGACCGAGGTGTCATGGCTCTATCCATATGGATGAGGAGACAGAAAGAAGCAGGAGATGATGGGCACGGACCTCAGCGTAAAGCAGCCTCATCTCCGCCAAGCGCTTTTCGTCAGTCACCGCGCCCATACCCATTCCCGTGTGCTTCTCAGCACACTCAACACAAGGCTGACGGTGTGTCGGAGATCACCAGGCAGACCTGGCCGATGTTTCTCGGATGGCAGGGGAGACTGTGAGCAGCTGGCCGTCGCGAGTCCGCTCCGCCCATTCCTTAGATTCGACAGTACTCGCGGAAATCTTCATGTAGTGACCGACGACGCCACCTTCATCACATGAACGAAGGTGCACGATCACACAGGACCGACCGAACGAGGCGGGAATGGCACCCGTGTATGCGCCGCTGCTGTTTCTGGCAACGTCTGCTGGGCGAGAGTGGAGGCGGAGCAGGCCGATATCGGTGCTGGGTAGGTGATGCTACGCATGTCCCTGCTCAAGACCATGCCAAGTTACCCAGTGACTGGAACGAAACTCGAAGAAAGCGTACCGTGAATGTTTAGTGCAGTCCCGGTGCCAGACACACGCCGCACCTCAGGCCATGGACAACTCATGCATCTTTCCATCTGAGGACACATGCTCATCTCGTAATGAGTCACGGCGTCGGCCAAGAAGGTCGGTGCGGCGAACAAACATGCCTCTCGAAGATCTCCGCATTTCCCGGTCTGAAAGACGGCAGAGTCGACTCTCTACCCCCGCCCCACGTTCCCCCCATACGAAAGAGACATGAGGTGTGCTGTTGACTCCGTCAGGCCGGCTCCCATAGTCGTCTAACTGCCTGTCTAGATGTCGTCCTCACTGGCAAGCGAAAACAAGGATCTGTGACGCGTTCGTGTAGACCGGTGCCCGTATCGTTATCTGCATGGATGGATGCTCGCATGCGTTTTGGGCGCGTGGGGTAGCGTAGTGGGAATTGCATTAGATGATGAGCACGAGCACATTGACCCGACGGGCAACATGCGCCGCGAGGAGTGCAGCAGTCAGAAGCATGATGTGCTGACAAAGCTTCCTGATCACTGGATCAGTGATCTAATGATGCATTCAATTGCTATTCCAACGGTATCGGCGGGCAGTTGCGATCCACGACCAACAATTTCTCTCAATGAATCCCTCCAACCGCTTGTGAAAAGTTCCCCAGTGTCTCAAATCCTTCGGTCCTAAACACTAGAGGGAAATGATGCCCCCCTGTTTCACTACGCATCCACGGAACGTGCTTTGTGACTGTTGCGCCAACTGGCACAAAAGCCGCTGAAGAAAGACGTCTTGGCGTTACTGGCTGGTGCATGCATGTTGGCTCCCAGTGTGGAAACCGAGTGAGCCTAGTACTCCCTCTGGATTCATTTGGACTCCAACAGCCCCATAAACCTGTGTGTCTCAATCCGCCCCTCCCAAAAACGCGGATGCGGCTATGCATTCCCGCGCGCCCGATCATCTCAGACACTAGCGAAAGTTTGCGTATAAATTCGACGAGGCCAGGAATCCAGCAACACACACCCTCTACCACTCACCACAACGATGTCTCATCCAAGCCGTGCCCGCGCTGCTGCTGCCCCGACTGCGTTGAAATCGAGACAGCCACTCCTCCAAGCCACTCTGGGTGTCTTCCGTAAATCCACTCCTGCCCCCAAACCTTGGGTGCGCCCTCGGGCTCCCATCATTCTGAGCACTACCCACCGCCGGCGCGACCGTGCCTCGGTGCGGCCCATTCTCAAGCGGCAGACTTCTCGTCGCCGCCGCGACTCCGATGTTTCTGAGACTTCCACGCTGCGCGGTGATGCCGACGAGCTCGAGCTCGAGCTCGAGCCCATGTACCAGAAGCAGGGCGTAAGGGGCGTCGACTATTACGAAGTGCTCGTGCGCACATCTGGTCAGCCCTCCCCCTCTTCTTACCTCTCAGACTCGGCCGAGCTGAGATTTTCTCCCTAGGCTTGAAGCGCAGTAGATTCAGCTCGAAGATGAAGGAGATCACTTGCAGGCAACGCCGAGCATTTCCCCACCTGCCCTCACCAGAAATCAACGAGGTTGCGGTGAAAACTACACTTGCGCCGTCGCCAAACAGGAAACCCGCAAGGGTTGATTGGGGTGATCACCGCAGTGGCGTCCGATTTGTCGTGGTTGAGAAAGCATAATCTTCCTCTGCCACGCCCTCCATGACTCGCGGCAAGCGGGATGGTGAGCACGACCTTTTACCCAAGTGTTTTGAGAAAGGAGCTCAAAGAAAACGCAGATTTTGCCGTTGCGCGCAGCAATTCTTGCCAGCTCCGGTCGATGCTGCTTCGAATGCACTGGACAGCACATTACGCAGAATATATGCGGTCCTCTAGATTCCCCCCTGCCTATAGCACCAACCTTGTACACGCATTTAACTATTTATGGGCTCCTGGGTACATGTCCACATGCGGACGATCCACACAAATGTTATTATGGAAACAAGTGGTTGACATCAAGATAAGTTGCTTGATCAGATGTACCGATCGTCGGTCCTCGCATCATTGCTTCGTCATCCATCAGATGCGCCCGCCACTGTGCTGTGCAAGGGCGCACAGCAACGATTTGTTGTGATGGAACAGCCTCGTGCAACGTTCATCAGGAAATCCCTACCACTGGCAACGCCAGCCAATGCTTCATACGACGCGCCACAATGTCTGATGCAATGCAGCGTAATGACGACTCACGGTGACTGACGGCGGGCGGTGCAGCTCCGCCTGTGCCCAAGCATAAGAGGCAGAGCAATGTCAAGGCGTTAGCGTGAATCAAGAACTAGCGCCGTCCCCTTCCGCCCTCGAAGCTGTCTCAACAGGGACGGGAATAGCCAATGCGACTGTGGGCCCAGCGAACCCAGATGTGATAGAAACGACGATTCGAATCTTCACCGACCTCGCATCCCGTCGACTGCCCGGTCCAAGCACCACGCCAGAGTTCCCTATTTAGGGCGACCCGCAACATATCATCAGATCAACGGAGGCTTGAAGGGTTCCGCCCTCGGGACCGAAGTCCAGTTTCCTTCCCCGTATTGTCTTGGGACCGGAACCCAGCATCAACAACCACGCAACAGAACAAGGGGGTGTGGTTGATGGTCAGTTTCCCATTCCGTTCCAGGGCCCAAGCAGACAGGCGACTGAATTTGGAGCGCAGTGATTCGAGATTGGATGGGACCCGACACAGCTCGCAGCCGCTCCGGGCGCTTATCGTCGCTCGATGCTGTGGAGAGCTGGACTCTTATTCCTTCACCACCACCACCACCACCAACATCCTCTCTCCTCAGAAGCGCGATGCCACCTAGCCCTGACCGCAAACAAGTCCACTGGAGTCCCGTCGTAGAGGAGTTCAGCGCGGGCCATACACGCCAGAGCTCCGCGGGGTCGTCTTCCTCCTGGCAGTCGTCCTCTTCTCCACCGAGACGGGGCTTCTCTGGCCCTCCTCCAATCTACCAGCCGACCAGTCCCCCACCCATCTACCAGCCGATCGCGTCTACACCACCGACACCACTCATCTCGCTCCCAATTCCACTTCCTGACGTCGACGAGGATGCCAGCGACAGCAACGAGCAAGAGGCTACCGCGAGCCCGCACTTTGCTGTACTGCGCCTCGACATGTCGCTCCCGTCCAGCACATTCCGCGGCACCCTCGGGCCGCACCAAGCGCTGCTCGACACCCCAGCCTGCTCCCCACCAACCACGGCCCTATTCCTGCGCCTCGACACGGGGCTCGTCCGCGCCAAGATCGAGGTGCGGTCCTGCAAGGCGGCGGGCGCGGCAGTGACGGTAGGCGACGTCCTGACCGCCGTGCACGCTGAGCTGCGCAAACCAGATGGCGGAGGCACACCCGCGGAAGCCTTGCCGTACGCCCGGCAGCGCATTATCGCGCAGGGCGGAGGTGGGGCGCGGATCGTCGACCACTTGCTAGGGAAGACGGTGTTGGCTGGTTTACATCGGCAGGTCGGCCAACACGATCGCTATTGGCAGGTCCATCTGGTGTAGACGCAGGCACCATATGCTGAGCGGACATCTCTTCTCCCGTCTTCTGAGCGCGATTGCGCTGTGTAATATGTAGTCATTTCCGTGTTGTGACTTTGTGTCAGATGTAACGCACCGCTTTCTAATTGTATCCGTAGAAGCTGATACGAACTGAGTAACGAACCCGCATCTTCTCTGTGACAAGCTGTACAAAAGAGTGAGCAAGAGCCGCAGAAGAGTGAACGAGCGTAATGAGGAAACGTCCCGAAAAGGCGGGCGCAGCCTGAGAGGAAGCAGCACTCACCGGCATCGCTTTGGCAGCACACAGCGGGCTCGCTCCTCCAGGTTAACGCTGTGAGATGCGAGGCATATGTCGACAAGGCGGATATCATCTATGGCGACGTGCTATTCTATGGTCAGCGAAAGCACACCGTCGCAGACATAAGATGGGTCGCACCCGCCCGGCGCCCAACACATCTGCCCTCCACCCCCGGCTACATGCGTCTCTCGAGTAGGCAGAGTCCCTCGCCGTAACCTCAGCTATACCAGATTGGTCGCGGGTTACATCATGAAACCTCGGTTCGCCAACGTCCGCTTGAAGCTGCAGACTTCAAGGTCTGACACACCGTCGCGCTGCGTCTTCCGCCCTGCTAGTGCTCATCTTCAAACGAATGGCGACCCGCATGGAGGCAGCGGCCGATTGTCCATCCCGCCGTCGACTGGGCTCGCATGTACTGCGATACACTGACGAGCCGCAGATAGACCAGCACAACTCGGCAGCTGCGCCCAGCGCCTACCGATGATTCGATGGGTGTGATGTGGCTGATCCATCCCTTCAGATCGCGGATATTCGCAAGAGCATGCCTGCGAGCGCTGGCGAGAGGAGCGCGGGGAAGGCGAAGGAAGGAAGGACTGCGGAAACCTGTTCTGAACAGAGAGATGCTATTTGCACTGGTGCTCGGATCCGCCGACACGCTGTGGGATCCTCCCAAGACTATCCAAAGTGCCAGCACACAGGTGCTGCTGATGGCGACGATATCAAGAAAGCGGCATGGATGATCGGGAGCGACGGAATAGAGATACTGGGCTCGATTGGTCCGGCGAAAAGTAGGACGGCCCAAGAAAATCGCTGTCATGCGTCCGTGGTCAGATCCGGCGGAGTGAAGAAGACCTGACGACCCACCCATGAATCCAGACTAGTCCGAGGGACGTATGACCACCGCATTGTCTGTGCGTTCACTTCTGCCACCGGACATATCGCGAGCACCGCAAGATTGAGCGTGAGAAGGTGAGGATCGGAGAGTGGACGGGCGAGATCTGGGGCTGTCCCACTCATGACAGCATCTCTAAGGTGTCCGGTCATGTCTGTGCTGGTGCTTTTCCCGCACTCTTCATGGCAGGCGTATCATCGAGCGCGTATCCTCGAAACCAATTGAAGAAAGCGGTCTTCTCCAACGCGTGCTGTGACTAGGATTCGGGGCGATTCATAGCAGTCGAGCAGGTTGTAGGTGAATGATCTGAATGACAAAATTGAGTGGGCGGCGGAATCGGCGATCACCGAGGCCGGCTCCCGGGCACCGAATAGCTGTCTGTTCTCAGCACAGCCACTGCCCAACAGCACTTGGGGCGTGCAGTGCGCGGCGACCAATCCAGATCTTTTCCACTTTCCAGAACCCTCGCTGGGGACGAAATTTTTGAAGCGTGGTTGAGGGAGCCCGCAGTCGGTTCAGTGATGAGGCAACTGGCGGCCATTTGGGGCAATTACGAGGTGTTTCGGATGCCAAAATGAGAGAGTGTAGTTCCTCACAATACACACCGAGGGATTGCGAATATCACGGCCCATAAAGAATCAATTATATTCTATATATTGGGGCATAAAAAATGAAGGGATCTAATATGTGACATATCGGGCACCCGGATCATACCCGGCACCCGATATCTGTGGTATCAGGTCGTTTTTGCACTGATATGTGACATATCAGGTCAGCTTCTTTTTGGGGTCACGATATATGGAATATAATTTATTCTTTATGGGCCGTGTTATGTGTGATCCCCCGGTGGGATAGATTACTGACTTGATCTAAGTCAAGAGGCCAGAGTGATAATACTCAGATTCCGTCTTTCGCGAGAAAGAAGTCCAGAAAGAAGGAGACATATGCGCTACATAAGTTTGAAATGGGCCTGTGACATCATTGTTTTTGGAATTGAATCGATGCGGGGCGGCAATGAATGAATAAAGACTGGGATTCGAGAATAAAGGAGCCATCAGCTTGTTATCTTATCAATCATCTCCATCAACCGATCAGGGCTCCGAAACGGCCTTCTCGCTCCAAAGAAACCGACTTATGCGTCCGCAGATAACATATTCGAGGCCTCACTTTCCTCCATATGTTTGTCAAGTACTCAGATGGATGATATCGAATTAGATGAGCAGATACTCTAAGGTGCTTACGTAATACATAGATATCAGCGATTCCCATTCTCGTCCTCCTCAAGGGTGTTGCCCAGCGGTACCAATGTTTCCGGCAGATCAAGCACACCCATCAACTTGCCGACCAGACCGACAGCGGGGACCGAGCCGCGCTTTTCCAGCGCCGCGACGACCTTGGCGAAGCGGTCTTCCTCGTACACGCTTCCGCCGTGCGACGTGATGGTGACTTCCCTCAGCAAGGGATGGATGTCACCGGCGGGGGGCCCGACAGGAAGTACACGAGATACTCGGGTGTGGCGCGGATGCGGCAGAGATTTGGGAGCGCAGGACCGGGCGCGTGCAGTGGGCCGATGGCTTCGTGGAAGCTGAGGTCGAGGGAGGTGATGCTGGGATGGCGGTGAAGAAACGCCTTCAGGTCTGGAACGGCGATAGAGCAGTGCATTCCCAGATGCAGATGGTCGAGCACCGCGAGGGATAGGCGGGGAAGCGTTTCGTGCCAATCGAACAGCGACAGATCGATGTTGTCGAGCGAGAGGGAGGTGAGCGGGGATGTGTTGAGTGTGTGCATCGTCCAGCGGTAGAACGTCGTGTGGAAAAGAAGGGAAGAGTGTATGTTCAATGACTTCAGCGCGGGGAGGACGGGCAAGGGTATCACGCGCTTCGACGCGCGTTCCGTGGATTTCACGAGTGGGGCAGAGGGTTCCGGCTCGTCGGAGCGCGTTATCGCCACGGTATGTGGCTTCAATGCCCTGATCACGCGTTCCAGCAGCGCGGCGAGACGTTGTATCAGCGATGATCCCGGACCCGTCGATATGCGCGGTCGTCTAGGTATGGGTTTTTTCGGCTGGAGCGCTGCGTTCATCCGCAATATGCCCTACAGGCCGGTCGGAGAACGAGTGCGAGAAGGGGAAGGGATCCACGACCGCCTCGTATGGTTCGTTGTACACCGTGATGCTGCAATCGCCGCGAAGCGCGGCGCTATTGAGGGACAGCGCGAGCAGTTTCTGCCAGGAAACGTACTCCTTCTTCGTGCCTGGAAACTTGAGAAGCGGGTGGATACGCACGTGGCTCAGCCGTTCCAGCCTCTTCGCCAACACATCCAGAGCCTTGACCGCGTTCAATATCTCTTTGCTCGAGCTAGATCGGAAGAAGGACGAGAAGCCGCAGCTTAACAGCTCGATCGACGTGGCGTGATATGCAATCGCTAGGGCTGGAATGGCCCCGAGGTTGTCGCCGGTGAAGTAGACAGACGAGATCGCGCCGGTGGAGGATACGACTGCCTCGCACTGGCAGCGCTCGAGGAGGATGTGGATGAGCAGAGAGTTGACGCGAATGCACGTGGAAGCGAAGTGGAGCAGACCCTCGTCGTTTAGGTACTCGGAGATGATAAGCAGCAGCTCGTTTGGGCAGTCGAGCAGGGTGACCATGATGTGCGCAACCAAGCGCGCTGGCGTGTCACGACGGGTGACGCGTTGATGGGCCGTCGTGATCGGCGATCGGCGGCGGCGGAGCTGTGTTAATCCTTTCCTTTTCTGCCACGAGGTAGTTAGAGGCTCACGCTGAGTCTAATGCTTATTGAGTCCTGTCGAAAATCCTTTCATCATGTGTATGATCGCTCACCTCTAAAGTCTGAGTCTGTTGTCTTGGGACTGCCGCTTGGTTATCATCGTGAGAAGGCCCGACTCGTAGCGACGAGTTTTCTTTTCGAGAGAGGAGCATGCATGCCCAAAATTCAATCTGACATTCCGCGTTTTCTGCTCACCGGGGTCCGAGGTCTTCTCATGCTATAAAATCCCTTTCCATTCCTTCCTCATCATTACATCCTTGGTCGACACACCATATCTCATCACAGATGACAGACGGGTCTCAGCAAACATCATGTTCTACTCAACTTCCGAGCGGCGAAGAAGATTCGTTCCTTTGAATCGGCATGTCTTCACACCTCTCGCGGCATTATGACGCTCATACCGCTAGTCGTAGTACGCGCAAGGAGATCCGGGAGCACATTCCGA